GTAGACCCTGGTAGAAACTAATAGAAAGTGAATTATTTTGTAGTTCAGTGTTTTTGAATTATTTTGTAATTCATTTACGTCATGGTCTCGCAAAAAGACATCAACTCCAACTCCACTCCAACTCCGCTCCAGACCAATTCAACTCCGCTCCAACTCTACTCACAAATTGCAAAATCTCACTTCAACTCCACTCCAACTCCGCTCCAGACCATTTCAACTCTACTCCAACTCTGTCCATCAAATGTAAAATCTAATTTCAACTCCGCTCCAACTCTACCCACAATTGCAACATTCCACTCCATATCTACTGCAACTCCACTCCAACTCTAATGAAAAAATCCGTCAACTCCGGAGTTAACTCCAACTCCGAGTTGGAGTTGCCCAACACTGATCGTGTGGAACGAGGCCAGGTTATTGATCACCAGTATTACATCGACAATTGTTTACGACCTCTCGTCGATGAAATCAAACGTCAAAGACCCTCACATGGCACTCATCGCATTAAAATTCATCATGATAATGGAAGGCCGCATATTCATAAAGAGGTATCCAATTATCTTGAATCGGAAGGTCTTACAATAGTGCCACATCCACCTAATTCTCCAGATTTATCACCATGTGACTTTTGGTTATTCGACTTAATTAAACAAAATCTAACTGACCACAGTGATTCAGAGTCATTATGTGATGCTGTGAGCGAGTTCATGTACTCTATAAATACAAAAGAATATAGAAAAACCTTCGAGAAATGGATTGAAAGAATGCAATTGTGTATAGATAACCAAGGTGATTATTTTGAACATTTGATAAAATAAAGAATTGTTGAACTTGTTTCTGTATTTCTTTTTTGTTTCATCATTATTATTGTTTTGTACCTTGTGAAATATATGAACGACTAGTTATTAGAAAAGATAAGACAAAAAAGATGAAAGAAAGAAGAGACAAATGAAGAAAAAAGAAAAAAAATACGAAATGAAAAATGCATAGATTATAATATGCACTATTGGTACCAGGTGGAGTATCACGAAAACAAGTTCTTCTAGAAATTTTATTATAAATTATATCAATTGAATAGGATCAAATAGCATAGAAAGATAGAGCAAAACACGCTCTATCTATTGATAAAAAAAGAAAAATTTTCTAAGCATTCCAGATGAAAATAAGATATCACCGCCACTACTTTCGGATAGCCCTAAGTATTTGCTGAAAAATATTTTGAATACAGTGAAGATATTCTCTTCCTCAGATTTCCACGAACTTCATTTTTTGTTCCTTTCTCATGTGTTTTTAAAATTTTTATCTATACAGCAATCCGATTTTTTTAGAAAAGTACTTATATATTCTGAAAGCTCTTGAAATGCTCTATCGTCCTATATATTCAGGTCTTGACTTGAACTCATTTGCTGAGAAATATTTCGAACATTGTCAATGTGGGTGAGGATGTCTTCACTGTATTCAAAATATTTTTCAGCAAATAAATGTAAGTCAAGATTTAAATACACAGGATGATAGAGAATTCTGAGCGCTATCAGAATATATAATTACTTGCTTTAAAATCTAGTTTTATATTGGCGATAAAATTCTATTGATCAAAATGTGCAGAACTTATGTGCCAATACAATAAATCTGTCTACAAGCAAAATCTCAGTTTGAAATACTAACATTTAATTTGTTGGTATTTACTATGCCGGAGACTAAAATTCTAATAAAATATTTATAATTCTGGATAGAAGACCTTATAGGACTTATCATTTTGATGTTTTTCATATCTAACTGAAATCTACCTAAAGCGATCGATCAGTTGAAAAAGTTTCCTCGTGAGGAGAGTGATTTGAAATTTCTATCTTTATACTTTAACACCTCTTTCAGATCGAGTTATCATGGTTAAATAGCTTCTTTGTTTGAGACATATTCACAAGGTATTGTGTGCAAACTTCAATATCACCATCCATGGAATGACCCTGGATAACATACTAACGATGACCCGTCCGATATCTGCTGAGTACATTGTGACGTACATCTACTCTTGTAGTTAGTTAGTTAGTGTGTATGGGAAGTTCAAGCAATTGAACGCAAAATGTCATTAGATAGCTGAAAAGTAGGAGTATTCTTCCTTCTTTAAATTGTGTTTCACAAAATAAATAAATAGCTATTTTGTTTTACTTACTGGTAATGGTCCATTTTGATTAAGTTCATGTTGCGCATCTGATGATGGACTTGGTTTACCACTTCGTGGATCAATCTTTAAAAAAAAAAAAAAATTCGAATAAATAATTTTCTATGAATGATTTTTTGTTCTTGCTTACCCATGTTGTTCGTTTATTAGCATGATCAATAAAAAACATACGACCATTTTCCATTTTGAACATTTGCCAATCAAATGGTAATGGACCAAGGGCATCGTATGAACTAATAACAGTTGTAGCTATTGCACTCCATAAATTTGTTGATGCATTTGGTTGAGAATTATTTGAATCAATATCATCAACTTGACGTCAGTCATCAACTTGTGGTTGAGTTCGTTGAGAAGTAGCAGCACTAAAATAAACTATAGGATTTTGATCAGATTCGATGGAAACATTATGTTCAGATTAGGAAAATAAATTCAATCAGTTTGCATTTCGACAATATTCTGAGATTATACATGCAGTAGTATCTTTTTATATGATATGTATCTCAAAAGCGAACGAAAAGAATAATCACTTGTATTGATTATCGAAAGCAATTCGGCAATCTTTCTTTTCAATTAGATTTATTTCTATGATGAGATACACAATCAAAAATTCAAACGTTTCTCAACATAGAAAAATAGATATTTATACTTGTCCATTTGGATGAATCCAAGTTGATGTACAAGAATTATGATCAACATAATAAATTCTATTATTAACATCTTTTTGTTCTATTTTCAACAAAAAAGAAACAATAATAATTAAATAAAGTTTGATATAAATTACCTTCCTATTCAGATTGTAATAATGGTTCAGTTATTGATTCAGATAAGTCACAATGATGAATAATTTCAAAACCAGACTATAATTAAAATATTTTGGCCTGATACTAAAGCAAAAAAAAAATAAAAACAAAATTTTTTTACTTCATTTTGTTCATTGTTGTCAGTTTCAAAGGATCCTGATCTTAATAATGTTATACCAGGATTTATATAAACTAATCCAATTGTTGCAATATCACGAACATGTTGAAGAACACTAAATTAGAAATAAATAAAGAATATAAACATTTATATTTAAAAAAATACAAATTCACTTCATTTGTGTTTTAATAATGAATAATCTGTTATTAACATTGATTGTTCAGCTGATTCATATGAAATATTGAGATTCAAATCAACAAAAACCATGCCAAGAAATTCATCTTTTACCTTTAAAAATAATCTATTAGTTTTTCTTTTTCAATCAAATAATATTTTGTATACATACAAGTTTATTTTGATTATATATTTTAAATACAACTCGATGTTTACTTAGAACAATCTAAATTATCAAAAAAAAGGAAAATTTGTTTAAATTTTTGTTTTTTTTTTCTTCTTTTCACATACTCGAAAAAAATCTTGATTCCATAATCGATTGAATGTTTTTGGTATTGCACATGTACATGCAGAAGTAATCAAAACATTTGCAGCTTTTACAATGAACTATTCTCATTAAAGTATGTCTTTATGAAAAGTTTCGGTTTTAAATTCAAAACTCATTTTTCTCGGCGTTTTAACTCGAACTTTTTTCAGGATACTCGTAGCTTATTACTATCTACATGATACAGGCAGTTTTGAGGGAAAAGTTATTTGTCACTTAGAAACATCACCTCTGTAGGATTAAAGCAGATTGTAGATTTTTGTTGTTATATTGTATCGAAAAATTTATATCTTCTTGAATATTTTATTTTATAAATTTGTTGACAGAAAAATTGGCAACCTACAATCTTCATACACAGATAGTAAGTAAAAAACGAAATAAGATAATGAATCATAAATGACAAAAAAAAAAACACTTTTATTATTAGAGAAAAAAAAGCTATTATTGCAATAAAAGAAAAGTTTTATTAAACATTTATATTTATATATTAACATCCAAAAATTTTTAAGATTACCAAATTTCATTCCAAATTAAATCAATAACATGTATCAATACACCCGTTATCAATAACATGTGTGAATGGACCATTATCAATAACGTAAAAGAAAACATTTATTAATATGGTCATTTAAAGCGTCTTGATACATGTAATACATTCATTGTTCATCAGAGAAAAAAAAAAGAAGCTATTGAATAAGAAGAATAAAACAAATTGATATTGAGTAAATTGATATGTACCAAATGTATGAATAAAAATAATATTTTAATTAATTGTTGTAACGTTGATTTGGTACAATATGGTCGAATTCTTCATCTGTATGAGCAGTAGGGGTGTCAGCGTTCCCCGTTCCTCAGCATTCCGTTCCTAGGAACGGGAACGCTTGTCAAAATCGCATTTCACGCTATATTTCAACATGGCGAGGTCTCTAGACATATTCACTTTTCTTTTTATGTTTGAGTGTTCAGCGTTCCCCGTTCCTAGGAACGGAACGCAAAGTTGACACCCCTAATGAGCAGCATAAATAACTGCAAAATCGCCGTTTAAAATTCCAACACGTGTAGTAAGGCGAGAAGTTGTATTATTACGACGTGGTGGGGACATGATCGGTACATGTTGATCGTTTGTTGTAGACATGACGTTGTTGTTATCTAAAAAAAAGCCATTGCAGTGCTTTATATAGAGAGAGATTTTCTCTCTAAATTATGTATATATAGAGAGAGAAAAAGTAGTGCTAACAAATATAATGCGGAACGAAAACAAGAACGAATAAATGTATACTACATGCCGATTAGTCATCATTATTCGAAGAAGAAGAACAAAACGTTTAAACGATTGATAACTATACACATGTTTGTTTAAAAGATCTATGATGAAATATTGAAGTTTTTAAAAATCGATCTATTGTTGACCGATCTATAGAAATAGAAATGATAAATTCTAATGATTTATTTTGATATTTTTTTAACAAACTTTATAGCGTCGTGATACAATTCCTTCTAGTTATTTCTCTAGTAGCAAGAATGTTTGTGACATTGCTTTTTTTAAAGCATATCAATACAAACAAATTGTACAGTCTTGATTTTTTTTTTTTGGACGATATATAATCGGCCAATCGACTAAAAAAGAAGTAGATATCTTCTTGACTTATTCAGACCTGCATGATAATGAAAAATCTTACTGTTTAAAAATCAACTAGATGTTGGAAAAATTTTTTAGCTATTAATAGTGTAATAAGAGATAACACCATCAAGTAAGTCTTCATATGCGAAACGAATTTTTTGGTGCTTTTGTTGTGGAAAACTTAGCGATGACTCCTTTGAAAAATTGAATGTTTTATTGGCTTTAGTACAAGAATGTATACATAGCAATTATTGATCAGACAATTTTATTATTCTGGTAACATTGTGATGTTGCATCGAATCCATGACTGATGCTCCCCGGACAATTGCTCCCGCGACAATGGCTCCCCGGACAATTGCTCTCTAGTGACAGTTGCTCCCGCGACATTTGCTCTCGTGACATTTGCTCCCCAAGGACATTTGCTCCCAAAAGACAATTGCTCCCCGGACACTTGCTCTCTTATGACAGCTGCTCCCTGGATATTTGCTCCCCTATGACATTTGCTCCCCGGACATTTGCTTCCCGATGAAAACATGAAATATTTTTTTTATGAATTGCAAGAACAATGTATAGTTTGATTAAGTCAATACTTGAATACAACAATAGCAAAAGAGAGATTTTATTGATGATAATGTTCCATCTAAATATATATAATTTGCATTTTTTAACATTTTTAATTGTTTTTTGGTTGAAAATATTAATATTCGTTGATCAATCGGACCAGAATCGAATTGTAAAAATGTTCGACCACGAGCTGTTTTTATATATTGTGTATCAATAACAAGCGAATCACGATTTACTGGTAATGATAATGGGTTTTGATGTCTTCGACGAATTCGTTGAACAGTACGTTTAACGTGCTGTAAATTTGGTAGTGTTGAAATTGCATGATCAGATAATCTTGATACACAATCAGCCACAATATCATGTGTTGATTGGCCAGTTTGTTTAGCTGCATCATTCATTTTTGTACGTGATGCAATTACTTCACCTGGTAAATGAGATGGCTCATGGTTATGTTCACCAACTGTAAGTACAACTTGATCATCAATTGTATGAAGTCGACCGCGACATTGATTATGACGATAATTACGACAGCACCATATTATTTTGTTGTTATTTGATTTTTTATTTATAATATATATATAACCTTGATGTTCAAGTATTGGTTTTCCTCTAGAAGTTTCCATCATGTAATAAATAAATATTTATTATGTAGAAAAAACGTTGATATGATTTCTTTTAGAAATGTTGAAAAATAAATTTAAAAAAAATGTTGTCGAAATAAATACACAAATTCGGAGATCAAGCTAATTGAAGAGATTAATTAATTAGAAGTTTAAGCTTGTCAACACGCTAGACATATTTTATTGGATTATCTTTGTTTTTGATGTATTTAATTAATTAGTTGTAGTGCATTTGTGTACGATTAGAAAAAAAATTTAAAAAAATATAAAAACAGAACAGAACACTCTCATTTGTTGTTTCTTTTTTATGTGATAATTCCTTTCATAATCTAGAGTATTTTCCTATTTTATTTGTTCTATGTTCTTCATATATTCATAGATCCATGTTACCACCTTTTGAAGTTCCGATAAAACTGCATTAAAATTAGCTATATATTTAAAATCAATTCGTGAGTTTTCAGGTATCATAGATTCTGCATGAATTTCTAATCATCTCATTCTCTTCATAATCTTACCGATTTTGAAGTGTTTAAAAATTATATTGAATTTGTCAACAAAAAAATCATAGCTTAAGGCCTAGTGAAATTGAGGAGAAAATGTAACTGGGAAGCCAGTGTCCAGGGAACAAATGTTATAGGAGAGCAAATGTCATAGGGGAGCAAATATCCAGGGAGCAGTTGTCATAGGAGAGCAAGTGTCCGGGGAGCAATTGTCTTTGGGGAGCAAATGTCCTTGGGGAGCAAATGTCACGAGAGCAAATGTCGCGGGAGCAACTGTCACTGGAGAGCAATTGTCCGGGGAGCAATTGTCGCGGGAGCAATTGTCCGGGGAGCATCATTCGTGTTACCGTTGCATCGTAACATAATTTTTTACTTTTGTTTTTATATCAATAATCATTAGAACAGTTCGTTAATATTTCTACTTTTTATCTCTACAGAGAATTTAACAGCATATCTTCTCTCAAAGACTCAAAATTTCATGATTTATTTGTGAAAAGATGCATGTAAAATACATGATGTTGCAATCATTTTTGTGCATCCAGATTAATGCATTGTGTAGAAATTAGTAAAACTAACAAAGAAAGGCTTCCAGATGTTCAAGCCGTTTAGACTCTATCTTTTGGCCATAATTAGACCTCAATGAGGTATGAAAGAGCCGAAAAGGATTCATTCCCTCGCGCATTTATTCCTGAGATATTGAATTTTCAAGATATGGTATAAGGAAACGAGAATAAAATGATCAATGTCTCTTCTTGAGAAACCTGAAACATTAAAGACCGAAGCTTTTTTCCAGTTTTATGCGTTCTTTGTCCGATCTGTTTTGGTTTGAGAGCTAGATATAATCTTATCTATAATGATTCTATTCATTATTCATGAGACGAAAAAGTACACAAAGTTCTTAGCTTGTTTTTGATATCATTTTAAAACACAATGATTCTTGATGAATGAGCGAGAATGATGCATTATCCACACTGTTGCTTGTCTCTTTCGTTGTCTGCATACCACCTCATTCCTGCAATGAATATTATGCGCTTACACCCTTTCTCCCATGTTCTACTAGTTACATTCTCATTCTGTTCTCTTTTGCGCGGGTTTTGTGCCATAAAGTCGTTCTTCTTTCATTTTACCTATTACAATATATCAAGGAGGTACAAGAATTGAGTTGATTTCAGTCTTACTGGTCTCTATTTCGAAATGATTAATCGATCGAACATCATGAAGATTCTCGCTGATCGAGCTTCGAACTTACTGTCTTCTGGTTTTTCGACCACATCGGTTTCCAGCGCCTCTATTACAAACCGTGAATGCGAAGTAGCTGACCTGCTGTACAACGTCGTTGAGTCGATCATTAGCAGTCATTTGCACACTTTTGAGGTTGAAAGTATCCTTGATCATGAATCAGACGAAGGCGAGTTAGTCAATGAGATAGAGAACGAAAATGATGAAGTTGAAGAATCAGTTGATCTTGAATATTGTGGTAAAGAAGAAGACGAGGATAAAATATTGCGTAGTGAATTTTCACTCGAATACATGACTCGAGCAGTCAATTTCTATGATGAAGTCAATCCGAAAACTGATCAATGAGAGCGGCGATGATCGACAGTAAAACATAACTTCTGTCGCATCCCGCATCAATCTCAAAAAAAGTCATTGATCGTTTTATTCTCGTTTCCTTATACCATATCTTGAAAATTCTATACCTAAGGAACAAAGGCGTGACGGAATGAATCCTTTTCAGCTCTTGCATACCTCATTGAGGTCTACTTATGGCCAAAATATAGAGTCTAAATGACTTGAACACCTGGGGGGGGCTTCCCTCCTAAATATATAATTATAAATAAGAGATGAAAACCGAGCTGTTATATAGATTATTAGTTTTATGGATTAGCAAGAACATAAATTTGTTGTGAATCTAATTTTTGACTATATAATTGAAACTTGTCGATGGCTCCTTTGTATGCATTTGGTATGACAAGTGTTGAATTGCTGGGACCATTAAGTGTAGCAGACGAATCCGATGGACTATTATTGTCCAATGTAACGTAAAGAGGATTGACAGTATTATGCAGCCAAGAAACACTAGTGCCAGTTGATATGAAATATGCTTGTCCATTAACAATAGTCGAAAACTGTTCGATAATGAATAAACAACAGCTAAGTGTATCCACATATTTATTAACAAAACAGGACTATTAATAACGACGATACTTGCCACTAGAGATCTGTGGAGTACTCCGGAACCCGGTTCCAACTCCGACGGAGTCGGAGTCAAATCGGAGCCAAAGTCATGATCACGTTTAATGAACTTTTGCTATTTCAAATAAGAGCAGCTTTATTCTTCAGTTTAATAAACAAAAAAAAGAAAGATAACAGTTGCTACATATATTAAGAACGAGTTTCAAGGAAAAAACTAATATTGATAACCTTTCGGCTGCATCGCTCGAAAGATCGGCAACGTAAAAGCATAATGGTATCAATGAAAACATATTGTAATTTCATGAGAAGTACTATAATTCTCTTGATCATCAATTCTTGATTCCTTGGACATAGTACATGTCGAAAAGTTGCCAGTGATTGTTTTTTATTTCCATTGAATAGCACATGTACAAGAAATTTCAAATTAATCTGTTAATGATTCTTGGATTTTCCTTCCTTCGTTTGTTCCTTTATCGTTAAGGGCTACATTACTATTACTGGTAGGAAGTAATAGTATATAAGATTATTAATTATTGTAGGTAATTAGCAATAATCTGCGTAAGTAACAGAAGGAAGAAAGTAAAAATGTTATCAATTAATATAGTATTAAAACTAGTAACCCATAGAAGCAATATTGTTATTAGTTTATTACTAGTGATAAAGTATGTAAAATTATTATCAATTACCCAGTAATAGTAATAAAAAATAATACAGTAAACCCTTTACTAGTGAGCACCTCTCTATATTGAAAACCTCGTGATTATTAGTGTTTTTCACGAGTCCGAAAAGTCAATTTTTACTGAAAAATGGACCTCTCAAAGATGAACATCTGGTTATTAAGAACGTTTTTCAATAGTCTCGATCATGCTCACTTTAGAGAGACTTCACTGTAGTAATGTCGCAACCTTGTTATTGATTTCCACGTGTTGTAAATTAAACAATAAAACATATTTGAGATTTTCTTTTATTGATAAACAAAATTTGGAGTTTCTCGAGATTTTTCGGAGTTGGAATCGGAGTCAAAAAATAAAAATTTTCGAAGTCGGGTTTCGGAATAAAAAAACCTGACTCCGCAGGTTTCTACTTGTTAATGATTGATACAGTTGAGCTACTACAGCTTCTGCAGATGTAAAGGCAACTGGAACGAAGTACATTGAACCATTACTTTGTTGATTAATTGACACATGTACTATAGAACCATTAGATGCCATAGTGAAATTAATTCAGAGTGATATTGAAAATGGTAAGTTAGAATAACGTGGTAATGTAAAATATTGTACTTGAAAACAACTTGTAGCTTGTGAGAATAAAAGGGCTTCTTGTATATGATTCGATGATATTACATTAGTGCTCGAAGTATATTCAGTAAAGACATTAACACTATGATCAGGCAATGTTCTGTTTGCATCAAACGGATAATAGGCAGCTAGAGTAGCATTATTGTATACCTGATAGGTAGACCGAACTACATCGGTCGAAATCGTAAACAGCTGAATATTCCTAAACACAACAATGTGTTACATTTTTGTCTTTTATTAGTATTTTACCACAGAATATTCAAGAAAGAAACGAAAGAAAAAGATGCAAGCTATTCAGATTATTGAACTCTAACGTATCCGACTGAATTTTAGTATACTTCAATAGGCTGCCTTCAATGTCATTCCATACACATAGTTTTAACAAGTTTTTCTAGTGATCAATTTTGGCACATCATTCTGCAACGTCACTCACAGTTGCTTATCTATATTTATTAATGCATGAAAAGTAGATCAATGAATCCATACTATTAACTACTTTTATTACGTTGGTTACTGGTGTATTGATCCATTTTTGGATTTTAAAATATTCAAAGCCATCAGCAAAAAATTTCTTACAGTCCTTACAAGAAATGACTATATAACAGTCCTTTTTTGAAGTCATAAGATACATCATGAGAATCTTCGTCAGAAAAACAAAATGTTTGTAAAATCTAAATATATTGATTAACATATATATTTTCTCTTTCCAAAAAATCAGAGCCATTTTATCAGAAAAAAACATATGAAATTTTTAACAGATTATGCATTTCATTGATGTAACATCTTGAATAAATAACTAGCTTACTCTATTAAAACTTGTCTCATTCAGCTTATATATCATATCCATTGAAAAACGATGATTGATATCCTAATAATGAGGACACTGCAATCGCTTGTTTCACCAGTTGACGTACCTTGATAAGGATATACTATACTGGTCAATACAGAATCGATTTGAGCAATCACGTAAATCATTGAGTCAAAATTGAACTGCATCATATACAACTGTTACATGAGTTCAATTGTCATTGGTTAGAATACTAGAATCAGTTAATTTGGCACTATTCCCATGTAACAAAAAAAAATAATAAAAAAATCGATTAAAAATCGATTATAATCATACGATTTTAATCAATAATTTAACCAGTAACAATCATAGCAAAATCAGGTTTTCATCGATTATTTCAATTTTTTTTGATTATAATCGATTTTTAAAAATATTCTAAATCGATTGCAATCAGAATAATTGAAGTAATCGATTAAAACCTGATTTTGCTATGATTATTACTGCTAAAATTATTGATTAAAATCGTACGATTATAATTGATTTTTAATCGATTATTTCATGATTTTTTGCACAAAATTTGTTTTACATGGGTTATTGTTGAGTGAATCAAATGATTACGTGACAAAGACCGTTATGTATACTTAAGGAAAGACAAATTAAGTCTGATCTACATTAATCAAATACACCATAATCCATTTGACTTGCATTGTTGATGATATGAGTGTCGATCACAGGAACAATAATTTTTGATTTTGTTGAAATAAAACTATTAAAAAGTACTTATTACACTTGAATATCTATGAATGATAACCAAAATATAGCATTAAATAGAGCTAAAAAAAACCTGTGTCTAACGCATAAATTTCAAAAAGTTTCTGTTTACATCGCAAAGCTTTTCCCTACTCATTATTTTTGTTTTTCTATTACACAATTTTTATCAAATTGATAATTGAGGAGAAGAAATATTACAAAAGTAAATTTTCTAATCGACAATATAACCAAAAAGAAAAAAATCCAGATAGATGAAATGATAAGAATTGAAAGGTTTTATACGTAAATAAGTTTAATTCTAAATTTGAAACAGACGAAATCGTGAAGTCAACTATTGAAAAAAATCGAAAAAGCAGATTGTAAAGATATTTTAAATGTTGTTTTGTATTTAAATTTTATCAAAGCACAAGTAAAAATGTTGACTCAGTTCATCCTTTTTATTCTTGAGACATTACTCTTCCAGACAAAAAAATAGTTCAGATTGACTCGATACTTGACTGATAAGAAATGATCTCGACATGCATCCAAAGACTTTTGTATTGCATATTAGTTTTGTTTAAGAAAATCATTGACATTATATTTACTTATATAATTTTCATGAGAATGTTTTTTTCTATATTCAATATATGAATTTAAATACAAAATTTTATGCAATTCTTTTCTTACAAATCTCTCAAACAAACAATTATTCATAACTAGTATCTAATTTTGAAAAAAATCTATGATCAAAAATTCTTTAAGAGAAAATTTTTAGTATTTTGGAATGAGATAAATTATACTTGAACATATTTATTATAAACAAATAAGAATATTAATTACATCCATGCATCAAGTCTTGTCGGACTGATCAATGCAAATTGAACAGAAGAACATACCATTTCAATTCTTTCTTCTAAATATATAATAAAATCTTCTTTGTTATTGGCATCACTATTATGATCGATGCAACAAGAAAAAAGATTAAGAGGTGCTCGAGTTGTTCGTTTTATATAATTAACAAATAGATCTGCCATTACCATTGGTGGACACTTTCCATTATGAAGTTGAACAAGTAGGGTTCTCAAGCGAGGTAGAGCATCAAGCACTATATGCCACTGTTTGAACGAGAAACACCTTTCTTCATTACTTCCTTGATCTGTAATCGCCAAATGATCAACCGTATCAAGAGTTTTCATTTGATTCACCCGACTTGCAAAGGCAACGAATAGTGGTATAATCAGTCCACGAAGAGAATGCAAACGAGGAAGCATATTACCATCAAAAAGAAGTTCCAATCCCGGGACGACATTGTGTATTTCTAAACAACGTAAATTGATTAAAGGTGTTGGTGCCATAATTAATGAGTCAACCATGGAGAACGATGCAGGATGTTGACATACTAATTCATTAGCATCAGAACATAATTTACCAAGTGAATGTAATGAAATGTTTGGAGATTTGATTCCTAACTGATGGACACCACTGCGTGGTGCTACATTATGATGATTCATCCAAAATATTGTCCAACTTGGCCATGATGAAGTGAACAAAGTATAGTGTAATTTTGACTTATCTTCATCATTCTAGAATATAAATATTAAATTCAACATTTATTTCTATAGGTAAAAGGGAAAAATACTGACATATTGCACAAAAATATTATTATAATGTGTAGAATGAATGTTACATATGTCAATAATATCAGATAAATCTATGGAAGTCAATGAGTTAATATGAAGTGCAAACTGAATACGAATATGTCGCTTGTCATTATTGAAAAGAGACGATTGAAATATATGTTGAATTTCATCACATGTCGATAAATTATAGATAAAAGAATATCGTCGAAGACGAGGCATGACAGAATTAGAAGTTAATGTCTCTAAAGTTGCCCATTCGACTTTTTCTTCTCCTTCATTTGCTTTTCCTTGCTTTTTTACATATAAATCAAATCTTTCCAAATTTGGCATATGAAGGTTTGCAATAGCTGGAAGTCCAGTTGAAACTGTTTTTATCACAGATTTATGAACATAGATATGAAGCGATTGTAGACAAGGAAAAAATCCATCTACCGCCAATATATATACATCAGACATACTTTCTACGTATGTAGATAAATGTTCCAGTGATTGTAGACAATCTGTTAATCGACTCCAATCAATCTAAAAATAACCAATATTGTTCTTTTGTATATCACTATTAATACGTATATCATACCCATGCATAACATCTCAAATCCGTATCAAGGAATTTGAGTCGATTAAGATGAGGTAAGACAGTATGGAAAAATGTTCGGAAATTTTCCGGTATATATGATTGCTCGCTTCTTTTCACTGATAAATGCGTAAGTGTAGAAGAATGTGCAATAACGAATTCTGCAAGATCATCAGTTAGACAACGTAAAAAAAAGATTCGCAATTCAGTCAATGAAGTAAATATTTGACAAGGTGTGAAATGAATAATATAGTCAGAGAACATTTCTTTGCATACAAATGAGCGAACCAAATCATAACGCCAGATATCTTTTGAAAGAACTTGATATTGGTAACGAGACAATTGTGAGGAAAGACAAATCTGTCGAAATGCTCCATATTCTGTAAGTAAATCAAGAAGACGAAAGCGTACAAAACATCTTCACTTGATAAATATGAGAAGATTTCAAGCAACACAATATCAGGTAATAACATAAAATGTGTTGATGTCATTGCTGTATTCATATGATGACAGTCACAATATCACCACTCTCCTTTATATATCCTATCTAACCTTTATCATTTTTCATTTACTCATCAATCTATATATAACAACACTACCGCGGACGATCATTGTGACTGAGTGTATATTCAATTGCCAATTGAATTATAGGTCAAGTGTTCGTCGACAATTTTATCCAAATCAACGTGTGATAAAATAGATAGCATTAATGACATCATAAATGAAAATTATAGAAGAAACAAAGAATGAAGAAAAACAATTGTTATGACTCTTTAGATGTTTTGTTTTTTTTCCTAATTTTGATACACAATTAGATAATTCAGTTGGAAGTTTTTTAATGAAATAGATAGTCTCAAAGTTATGAAAAATGCATAAATAATAATAAAAGTATTTTCATTGTTGGATTGTTATCAGATTAATCGAATGATGGTTTTCATATCTTGATTATACAGAACAGACTGACAAAAGAATTTGTGAGTATTTTATCAGTTAGTATTTTATTTGAACAATTAATTGATCTTTTAATTATTTCATTATTAACTAATCCACCAAATACATCTTTGAGAAAATATGTTGTCAAGTAACACAAGCTTTATATCAAAATAAATAAGATTTTCTCTTTTGTTTGTAGAGGTTTTTCTCATTTACTAGAAAATTTATATGAAAATATTGTTGATGAATATACTAAATGTTTAAAAGAATTTTTTAATAGATAAGGAAAAGAATATATAAGGTGTCCAAGAATTCACTAAATAAAGAAAAATTTCAACATCTCCGTCATATTTCGATTATATCGGCTGATATTTTTATCATCCATCAAGAAGTGTTCATAGTTCATATTTATAAGAGAAATATTCTCAAAAATTATTTTCAAGTAGTGCAACTGATTTCAACATAAGATCTATAACATTTCGCCGATTATGAAAAATTAATATTGTGATTTTGTTAACAGATTCTTGTTGTTTATGGCTCAAACTTTCAGAACACACTAACGAGGGAACATTTCCAGGTGTCACATCGCTTTTGAGTCGAGCATTTGAGCATTATGTAGACTCTAATGAGCTATGAATTCTCTGAAAAAGAGTTCGTGCCGCTAGCCTCTTGCTGCTGAGATACAACATTTTTACTATATGTTTTGGAAAAATCCGTAGTCACCCTCAGAAACATCAGGAAAAGTGAGTTTTGAGTTTCCGTCTGAAACTTTGCATATAGATAGGCCTCAGTGAGAATAGTTTATTGTGAAGGTTTTAGATTTGTTGGTTGCTCCTAGTCTGAGATAGAAACATCGGATCTGTCGGTGTATAGAAGTAATTTTAAGATAATAATATTTTAGGATAGAAACAGGGAAAAGAGCTGAAACTTTCACAATAAACTATTCTCATTGAGATCTATATCTATACAAAGTTTGAAGTCGAAATTCGAAATTCAGTTTTTCAAAGTATCCCTGAAGGGGACCACAGCTCTTTTTTCTTAAATATACAGTAAAAAGGCATTATCTCAGCAATAATAAGCTATCAGTAGGAACTTTTTTCAGAGAATTCATAGATCGCTAGGATCTATATAGTGCGTGTATGCTCGACTTAAAAGCGATGTGACACTTGGGAATGTTCCCTTGTAAGTAACAAGATAAATGTTTGTAATATTAATAAGACTTGAAATGACACTAGTGTGAACCATTAATTGAAATAATTAGATGTCGTTTATTCTTAGCTATGGAAATAAATATATGGTTTTTCATAACTTGTGAAAGATTGTAGTTTTTTTGTTAAAATCAATTGTAAATACTTCCAAAGGATTTTTAACAAAATTTTTTTCTTATGAAAATGATCTATGAACATGACTTTATCAGTGGTTAACATATCAGCCTAAATGATAAAAATATGGTGAAAATATTGAAATTTTTCTTATGTCTAATGATTCCTGGACACTCTATATGATATTACTATGTAAAAAGATTTGTTTTTTCTTATTCTTATATTTTTTTAATAATTTTTTTTTTAAAATTAATCATTTTGATAAAATTTCAATCAGTGAATATTCTCAAACAGTTGAGATATTACTTCGATGTAAGAAACTCAGTTTGTTATGTGTATATATTTATTTGTTATATATTAAATTAGTAACAGCCGACGAAATGTCAGAAGCTCAGCGATGAATTTATATTGATCTTTCAGCTGATGATCGATGTTTTTCATTTCAATATTGTTGAAATGTTTTTATCTCTTCTTGCCGAATATTTTATTCGGTTTGATAATGATCAATCATATAAATCATCAGATTTTGATATACCTGCATCAAAAGTATACTCATTTATTTAATTAAAAGAATTTTAGTTTTTCTTATAGAAAGGTAAAAAAAGTTAAAGAAGCAAAAAGTAGTAGAAAATCTATTTTAACATCTGATAGATTAAGAGATAAATGTTTAAAAGGTCTTTGTGATATTCTTCTATCACATATTAAACTATTATGAGATTCATCAATCATCGATAAACAATTTATCAAGTAAAAAATAATTTTCCCTTATTTTTTAATATTTACTAAAATCAATATATTCTTTAGAGATGTATAACTAAATCATGTTATCATTTACTACATCGACAAGATATTGATAAAAATTCTATTGTTAAAGAAAATCTTTCATCATACTCACTATAATAATTAATAAATTGGAACATACACGAGGTAAATTAAAACAAGAATAAATAAAAAATAATTTTCTTATTTGAATTTTATTTTCTATAATTCAGAAACTTCTATTTAATTTATTCAAACAGTGAAACTTTATGATAGTAATTCAAGTTTACTTATGACTGTTCTTAATTCACTTTTGACTGACCCCTTTTTCCAATCGACTTCCAGATTCGTCTTGTCTACAATTTTCAACGATATTACGAAGAATTTTTTACAAAAATTGTATCAATGAATCGATTTACACATCTACTTATTTTCATCTATTCAATCTTCGATTTTCTGTATATATAACATGAAGTAAAAATAAATCTAAAATATTTATTTATCGTAGAATTGTTATATTCGTGTTGCAGCTTTAACAGCATTTTGTTCTATTATTGAAAAACGTTTTTTTTATCAGATGATTTAGATGATAGACACAGAAAAATGCATGATGATCTTTTACAAATATTACGTCTATGGTTTTATTTATTTTTAAATAAAATTTTTATTTTAAATTTCATTAGGAACATGTATCCGATGTAACAGCTTTTGTTCATCAACATTGTTTACAATTATGCACATCACTTGTACAACAAAAAAAAAAGTTCCTGTTAGACAATATATTCGAGCATTTGAACTTGGTCTTGATCGATTAAGAGATTCAGCTTGTGCAGTTCGAAAAGATGCAATAACGCTTATTATATATATGGTTCTTAATAATCCTTATCTTGTTATGGTATGTCTATTTAATTGAGAGGATTTTTATAAAGAATCTATTTTATTATAGGATTCAACTCGAATTCAATTTGAAGAAAGATAAAATAATCCTGAAACAAAATTAGATGAACTTTGTCTAGAACTTGAAAAATCAAATAAAAATAAACATGAAGAAAAGAAAATTGAAAAAGAAAAAGTTCAATCTAATGATTATGATGATGAAGATAAACATATTGATGATGAAAATGAAATGAGAGTTAATAATAATCAAGTAAATATCTTAATAAAAAAATTTGCAAATTGAATTTTATTTTATCAAATAGGATGAAAAAAGTGAAAAAAAATAATTTAAATGAAGATCAATCACTTGAAGATACTTTAAATTGAGTTAAAATTGAAGAACAAATAATGTGAGTAGAAGAAATTGTTACTTTATATAAAGTAATTATTTTTAAGCAAACAAAAGAACAATCTTTAAGAAATTAATTTATTAGAAGTGATGACCAAGCGTGACAGAATTTCATTGTTTTGTATTGTAGCATCTATATCTTCTCAATAATAAGGGCAAACTCTCTGAAAATTTTATTATAAATAGAGATTATTTAGTTCCATTGCTAGTAATAATTTCATTTAATTTTCTTTAGCCAGTGCTGAGTTATTTAAAAAATACTGATTGTTACGAAATTTCAAAAAATGAAAATTTTTTTGAGGGTGACCTGAGGGTTTAATATTTTACTACGAAACGGAGCAATGTATAAGTAAACATTCTACGTAAAAGTTGTTCAGTTTTAAACAAGCTTTCAAAATATCAGATTGTTTTTTTTTAAAATGCATGGCTACATCAAATAAAAAACTGTAAATATTATTCGTTATGGAATTTCATTTGTTATGAAATTTCACCTTTTCCTAAAAAGTCTCAGTTTCTTTGGAAACACAAGCAGAAATAAGAACTGGTAATTAGATATTCATCTTCAGCATGAAATTCTGCATCAAATGAACTATGTTTCAGTAAAATCTGAGGAAAAAAAATGTTCAGCTTTTTCGACATTAGAAATTTTCGAGAAAAATCAAAGTTGAAGTTTTGGAAAACTAAATAGGCCATTTTGTTCAGAATTCAATAATGATTCTAAATAGATCAAAATATATTTATGTTTGTGGAGGTGAACAACACTAAATGTTGAATAGTATAGAAATACCATAATTTTCAGTTTCTAATGAAATTTCGTAACGCAGTATTTTCACAAGAGTGATACCAAAACTTGATCAAACTACAATAAAATGTGTGCATTCAATAGAGCTAGTTGAGTTCTACCTAGATGTATCGTTTTTATTCTGAAAGCTGTCAATATATGGAAGAAAAATAATTTATGAAGCAGTTTCATTACGGAATTTCACTAAAAATTCAGATAGTTTGTGAGTACATTATCTTGCTTCAGGACTATTTAAACATCGTACAAAGAGAATATTCGGAAAGAGCAAATTGTTTTCTATCGATCAATATAAAATTTATTTTTATTCGACATACTTGTTGATACTTTTGACAACAAGTTATATACCATGGGTCGATCAGTTATTTAGGGAAAGAATTACCCACAATATAAAAGACCTTAATATCGGATCACAATCTAATTCCCAAGAGCTAGCGATATCTGTTTTAAAGACAATCAATAATAACCTTTCGACTGGTATATCGAGTTTCTTGTACGTTTCACTTCGAACCCTTCACATGCTAGGGTGACCGTTAGCTGGTCATGATCTAGGATGATCTTCGATTTATGGATTTAATTGAAGAAGCAAATCGACATGTTGTTGATTTATTTAATTCTCTTACATTAGCTGATTGTAAACAAGTAGTAAATTTTTTTTTGTTAATATATTTGTTATTATCATCTTGTTTTGCCAATTATTGAACAAAATTTACGTTTAATGTTTAGTCTTATTCGGTCTCTTAATAAATCGATTTGTAAAGCAATTACACAAGCTTTTGTTAAAATCTATTTTGATGTTGTACCAACTGTTTCTTCACCGTATGTCAAATTCAATTTATCAAATTTATATCTAAATGGAGAAAATTATCTAAATTGTTGATTGATTCATATTTATCGAAGATCTAATCTGCGCTGAGCAAGTCTTGCTACAATGTGTTAAATATAACAAAAGGGAAAAACTATTATATCTATAGTTTTTCAATGAAGAGAATTTGAAAAAAAACGTTTGTCCAGAAGAAATAATAAATCAAGGAAGAAACAACGAAGTCCAAGAGATTTCAGTAGATATTAAAAAATTATGACTTTAAGGCTTCATAATACGTCAGAATACCTTAGAAGTTCTCATAAGACTTTATAAGACTTCAAAATCAAAGTCTATACTCTTTCCTCTTTTACAACAAATGATACACATAATGAATTTGATACTGAATTAAACTTTCTTGAAAATGGGACTTATCTGTATGATTCAGAAAAGGAATGTAGATTTTTGTCTATAGAAAATTTCTATAATTCAATGGTGTACATTAATGGTAAAATTCTATTTGACGACTGGTAATAAATAAACAAAAATGACTTTGTGGAAGTTAGTGTAAGAAAGAACCAATAGACTTCGAGATATTTCTAGATATTTCAGTAGACTTTTAGTGAGTTCAAAAGATGTCAACAGGCTTCATTAAATTTCAAAACACTTTGGAACTATACATATTGCTATTTCCTTCTTGGGTTAGTGTCTTGAATTCTCTCTGCTCTATTAAAAATCATTTACTTTCATATAAGTTTAAACAGCAGCATCTTTTATTCTATTCCCAGGTTGAATAAGCATGGTCAATAAAGAAACATTTCCGATCGTATTTTGTCCTATTGAAAATAGTCTGATAGTTATTTTTTCGATCGTTTCATGACACGAGAAATTACAGTCATAATGTGGCGTGTGCTAAAGTGGTATGTTATGACTTTTCACGATCTTAAACTGTATGAAACATGGAACAAATTACATGAGTAAAGATCTTCTCCTCTGCGTCTTATTATCTGCTACTTCATGCGATAACATCTATACTTCGCACAAAACTATAAAAGTTTTCCAAAACTCTTTCGATAATAACTTTGATTTTTGTCCTGAAATATACGCATAAAAGTCATGAAATGTTTTTAATAAAACAATTGTATTTATAATTTATTTATTTATTTATTTTAGACATATTTCACTTCATCAAGTTCGTGCAATAATTCGTGCACTTAAAGGTGGAATGTTTTCTGAAGAATTATGTTTTGAAGAAATTTTTAAACAATTAATAGAAGGAAAAAAAATAGCAACTGAACCTGTAACTAAAGCTTTGTGGAAATTTTATAAAGCACCATCAAATGATAATACAGATGTTATTGCTGATAAAATTCTTTCATTTATTGTTGGATAAAATAAATAAATTTAATTATTTTTCATATTTTATTTATTTAATAGAAATGAAGTTAGTTCAATATTAAATCATATAACAGATCGTATTCAAACTAAAGAAAAAAATTGTCGTTTTGTATATATTTCTTGTTTACTTTTACAATTATCAGCAATGCCAAACAAGTTTTTTAAAATCTTAATATTTTTTTTTATTTATTTTAAAATAGATTGAAAATGGTATTAAACCAAAACAATTTCATTTATCAAAAACTCATCGCTTATTTGAAATACTTGCTAATATTATTATTTCAAGTAATAACAAAAATAAAGTTTAAATTTAAATTTTTTATCTTTTTTTAAAGCGTTTCATGATGTATTTTCATCGACAATGGATACCAATGATGGAATCGGTATTTGATGTTATTTTTAAATTAGCTGATGGTCCAATTAAACATATTGAAAATATAATAAAAAAAAAACCTTGCTATTGAAACAGGTGCTAAACTTGGTGGTTTGTTTAAAATTGCAACATCATCTCGATCACAACCTTTATCTATTGAATCAATGTATTCTCAAAGTAAAAATTTCTCATTTTCTTTTTTCTTTTAAGAAATTTTATTTAGATGCTGGTAATGATAATAATCAATATCAATTATCACAACATCATTTTCAAACAAATGCAAATTCAGCATTAATGTTAGTTCAATTTTTCAATTGTGTTAGCACTATATGTATAGAACGAAAGGATAAGCAGTGTCACTGATGTTATGTGTCAGAACAAAGAAAAAGATGACCTTCATGGAACTCGAATCCATACCTTCTGCTATCCGATCAGATGTCCTAACCCAATTAGACTAAACCCCCTTTCGTAATAGAAGCCTCCGGAGAACGGTCGATATGAAAGATGTATTAGAAGCCCAGAGCTTGTATTACACTCAAGAGTTTTCAGAACTTTTTCAAAATCAGTCTTCCTCTCAGCACTGATAGTTTACATTGGCAAGCTCTCTGGACGTGAGAGAGTGTACTAGACAATGCTTCACATATTGCTTGTTGATGGTTCCAACGATAAAGAAAACGCGGGTATGAGTGGCTAGCGATGTGGCTGTGGGTATAGGTCAAGAGAAGACAAAGTTCACACCGACCCACTCACACCCACTCACAACATTAAACTTCTTTTGGAACAAGTGGTCTAATTATGTATATTTGTACATGACTTTTTTTTCACCTTATTCTTTTTTTGTAATTTATTACATAAAATAGTATGTTTTTTTGTATATTTATGACATAGAATAATGATTTCTTTTTGTATATTTATGTTACATTTCACAATGTTGTAAGATTATTTGAACTTATCACAAATAGATAGTCAAGATGATTAAAACAATGACCCCATTATATACTTTTCGAAATTTCTGTACGAAAGTCATATTAGTAGCCCACCCCATAATAGAAGCCCTCTCCAAAAACTTTGAACGGTGGACAGTTTAGAAGTCCATAGAGGGTTCTATTATGAGAAGAGATTTAAAAGACACACCTTAATCTTCGTTCAGCGTCAGTATATATCATCTCTGACGCTAACAAATTGTGTAGGAAAATCAACTATTGAAATTGTTTATTATGTTGATTGTACAATTAAAGATGAACTTTCACGTCGTAAAGAAGCTAAAAACAATCATTATCAGATAATAAAAAATTTAAAAAAAAAACAAATAAAAAACGTACAAAACATAAAACACCAGATAAAGATAATGAAAATCAATGAACATCAATTAATGCTATAACTAGTAATTCATTAAATCTTACATAGGTGAACTTAGCACAAGATTAGAGTAAAACCTGCCATGATTCGTCTACCAACATGTTCCAAGCACAACTCGATGAGCGCTATCGAATGGTGTATTCAGATTTTCGATAGCTCAAACCAAGTTCCCGAAAATCCAAAAAATACAAATGTATCACTACAAGAATTCTGGATTCTATATAATGAAACCTACCAAGATTTTTCCAGGATAATGTTCCAGATGTCCCATTTGTGTTCCAAGTACAACTCGATGAGCTCCCTCCAATGCTCTATTCAGTTTTTCCATAGTTCAAACCAAGTCTGAGATAATGAAAAAATACTAGTATCTCAGCATAGGAAACTTGGGCTCTATATAGTAAAACCTACCAAGATTTGTCCAGGAAGATGTGCCAGATGTTCCATTTATGTTCCAAGTACAACTCGATGAGCTCTATCGAATGGTATAATTAGATTCTTGATAGCTCAAACAATATCCTAGAAAATTCAAAAATAGTGCTATGAAGGTTCAAAGATGAATTTACGATGGATCATACTGAATGAAGATGCAATGGAACTCTATCTTTAGATGAAAAAACTTCAAGTGAACATCCTATAAAGTGAGACTATTATGATACATATGTTGCAGTCGAACTAGTGAATTAATATGATGAATCCATTGTGATCAATCCTTTCACACTTCTGAATCGATTTCAAAGAGTTGGCTAGTTTCTCAGTTAAGAGACCTTTTTTAGTTCTTTTCAGTTCGCATTTACATATGTGACTTCTATTTAACCCAGTTCAATTCTTTTTATTGAAGAGTTCGGATAGCCTTCAACCCATGGCATACGACGAATTACTTCGCTTGACTCGTTGGATAGAAGATCTATCAGAAGAACCATTACAAACTTTAATAGAGGTAGAACATTAATCTAAAAAATTGTTCGTTTCTTTCTTTCGTTTATCCTATTTATAGATCATCATGCGTGAAGAACTAGAATTGGCGTCACCAAATCAGACTGAACTGCAAATAGATATCGGGAGACTCAAGATTTTAACTCTAGGTCAACTCGGGACGTTAGGATGTGGATGTGGCTGGTGTGAAGTGTGGGTGTGGGTGGGTGTGGATGTGTGGATGGGTGTGGGTGTGTGGATGGATGTGAGTGTGCGGATGGGTGTGGGTGCGTGGATGGATGTGAGTGTGTGGATGGGTGTGGGTGCGTGGATCTCTCAGTGTGTGAGGGTGGGGATGTGGTTGTGGATATCGAGAATGTGTGAGGAGGGATGCGGTTGTGGTTGTGGATGTCCGGAATGTGTGATTTTCTGTTCATCCGCTCATATCCACACCTACACCCACCCACCACACTCACACACCCACACCCACCCACACCTACACCCACACCCACACCCATACCTCACACCCACACCCTCCTCAAGACAACCATAAATGGCGAGAGCTAATCAACAAGCAAGTACAAACTAATTCACCACATCGCAAAATCAAAGACATTATACATGCATACAAAGAACGGTCAAACAAGAAAAGTCTGCAAGAATCAAGCGGGATAAAACCACCGAAAATAACAGAAATATTAATGAAGAACGCGAACAGTAAGTATAAATGTTCACAATGCAATCGACAATTTCATCCACAAGGTATAACAAAACATGTCAGAGCCTGCGGTAAGTCGTGGTGCCGGAAAAATAAAGTGGAGTTGATTTAGTATATTTGGACACAACCTGCAACTGTCGTATCTGATTAGCGATGATGGGTGTTAACTAAAACCGCATGGAGGTTAACATCCGGATATAATATCAGATAGTCAAGTATAGGGAACAGACGCTACATAAACCAAAATATATTGATGAAAATTGTTCTCTTCCTATTGTATTTTATTTATAAATTAATTCATTTAATTCTTAACGTTTCGAGTTGACAAGGTAACTCTTCATCAGAAGAAACTGTACAAGAAAAGGAAAAAAGATAGAAAAAAATTTTTTCTTTTAAATGACAAACACAGATATATATATAGTTCAAATTCCATTTTTCTTTTCTTTTGTATAGTCGGTGTTTTATTTTTCTTCTTTAATAGTGGTACGGACAAGACGGTAATAGACTGGTACGAGAAAGGTGAATTTTTCTTCGTCCGTACCACTATTACCGTCTTGTCCTTCGTTAGGTTATGTTGTTGTTAATTGTGATTTCTTTTTAAATCTTATCATTTCTTTTATAGATTTCTGTTCTTTGTATAAAATGTTATTCCATGCCGAGTCAATTGTATCGTGCCGATTGATCGAATTGTTAATAGATGAAAAAATTGCTTCTTTAATTCGGCGTTTTCTATAGTTAGTGTCTGAATCTATAGTGTAAGATAGGGAAGGATCGAACATGCATTGCCACTTTTTTGAGTGATGATGATGTACTATCTCTGAGTTAGCAGTTGCATCATCTTTTTGAATCAATTTGTTGTGTTGTTCTGATCTTGTCTTTAGTCCAACCTTCGTTTCACCGTTGTAAGATGCACCACATTCACAATCCATTTGGTAAATGATTGATTTATATTGTGGTTTTATGTTGGAGCAAACAAGAGAGTTTAGCTTTCTTGGATAGCTAAACTACAATTTGATCTTTAATTTTTCAAGTTTTCGTTTCAGCACTTCCATTCCTCTTGCATATGGAAGACATAAGCTAAACTGCATATCTTCATTCTTCTTTTTAGTTGGTTGAGTTGTTGTGTTGTTGTTATTTTGTAGTAAGCATTTCTGGAAGGAATTATCTATCAAATTTAATGGATATTTTGATTTAATTAATATTTGTTTCAATGTATATAAATCTTCTAATTGTTGATTATTATTCCGGGTTGTATTGATGATTCTAGTAGCCATATTCTTTATAATGTTGAATTTAATGGATGTATGATGAGCAGATTCAAAATGAAGGAGTCTATCACTGGCTGTGTCTTTTCTAAACCATTTTAAATCTATTGTTTTGTCAACAGTGTTTCTGCTTAATGTTGTATCTAAGTAATTCAGTTTTTTATCTTTTTCAAATTCATATGTAAATTTAATAGTTTCTTTTCGTAAATTTAATTCATCAACAAATATTTCTAATTCAGTTTTAGTCATTTTTGTGAGAATAAATATATCGTCAACATATCTTATAGGCTTTTTATTAACTTCCTTCAGGTGAGTCTTGATAAACTCATCCATAACAAGATCGGCTAACAATGGTGATAAAATATTACCCATAGGTAAACCAAATTTTTGACGATAGAATTTGTTATTAAAAGTAAAGTAATTATTCTGTAAACATAGTGTTAATAAATCACGAAGATCGGTCTTGGTGAGTGAAGATTCACAAAACGCTTCTTATTGGCCAATTCGTTCGATGACAGTGTTAATTGCTTTACTAACAGAGACATTTGAAAATAAATCTACCACATCAAGACTAGCTAGATATTCATCGTCTTCTAATTTCATTTTATCAATTTTATCAATAAATTCTGCAGTCTTTGTCACACAATTATCTATAGTTTCTTTCAATTGTTTGATCAATTTAAGAGTAAAAACACTGATGCTGGAGAGAATGGTAGATCTAGTACATGTAATAATTCTAAGTGGGCAATTCCCAGGTCCACAAATCCGACACCGAAGCCGATCGGATCTTATAGGATCCCAACAACTCGACAAAATCCGACAGGATTCACCAACGGAACCGACGGTCGGATCCTACAGAATTTCCGATAATATCCCACTAGTTGGAACCCGGAGCTATTCCGACAGTCGGATTCTCTCGGAAACCCTGTAATGTGGAAAACTACACTTCCGTCAGATTTTGTCGGAAAAAGTCTGACCCACTTCTGATTGGCTGGGCAATAGCCAATCGGAACTCAGATACAATTTTACCTAATTTTGGTAGAGATTAACCACAGTCATCCCCTTATTTCAGATATTTCATACCGTTCTATGTAATTTTCAACGCACAC